GATGTTTGACACGAAAATCAATGAAAGAATAGATGAAGTCCTAAAATCGTACAAAATAAAACATGGTTCTTCAATTCTTTCACAATTAACAATGATATTAGAGAAGAGTGATGTAGGCTCTCGATTAATTTCTGAACATTCGTGTTTAAGTGGTGAAAATTGGAGAAAGCGACGTGAAAAAATGCAAAAACAAGATGATCTTGATTATGTCATTGGAGCATCAGAAGGAGATGATCTTGCTAAGGATGTTGTATGTTCGCGCTATAAATCATTCAGACGAACGTACGATGATTTAATATCAAAAAATTTAGGATCATTTAATTCGAAGACTCAGACCGAACCCAATTTAGAAGTATTAATTGCACAAACGAAGTTTCTTATTGGAAAAGTAGTTCGAAACACGAATGTTATTACTTGGGATCATTCATTTCGAGATAAAATTCCTGAATTGTTAGCACATATTTTTGCTATATGGACTTTAAAAAATACTCAACATTATAACAACAGCCGTGGTATTGATGAATCACGTGCTTATCTATTGATGCCACACGTTGCACAAGTTATTGCCATTTTTCGTATTCTTGGTATTGGTTATGACAAGAATGTAACAATCAAAAAGCATAGGATACATTTTTCTATAATAAAATCTAATGATTTGATAAATAATTTAGTACAGATAGGAACAGGCGAAGGTAAATCAGTGGTTATGGCAATTACTGCTTGTGTTTTTGCACTTGTTGGAGTCGATGTTAATTGTTCATGCTATAGTGAATATTTAAGTATGCGAGATAAGAATGATTTTGCTCCAGTATTTCGAGCACTTGGAATCGAGGAACGTATCGAATATGGTACTTTCAATAAATTGTGTGAAAGCTTTTTGAATGAACAGTGTAATATACGAGAAAAAGTACACGATATGATCATAAATAATAAGAATAGCATAGACGTAGTTAAAACGACGGGGCGCGTTCGTCCGAAAGTGTTGTTAATTGATGAAGTAGATGTTTTTCTAAGTGAAAAATATTATGGTGGATTGTATACACCTTCGGTATATTTAAAAGATACCACAATAAAGAATTTGATAGACTCATTATGGGAAAATAGAAATTTACGCACATTGAATACTGATAAAGCTTTGCCAGTATACCAAGCTTGTGCTTCTCGATTTAGTAATTGGACTTTTCTTTTCGATGGAGCCATAAAAGATATGTTGACTGCTTTAAAATCGTTTCCATCATCAGCATATCTTGTACAAAATGATAAGATTGTTTATGTCGAAGGTGAATCCGTAGCAGAAAATGTAGTTCGTGGTTATGATACAGTTTGGGCATATTATTATGAAAATCAAAAAGGTTTTATTAGTCAGGAAAGTTTAGAAAAAAATGTGGGCATCATCATTAGTTGTGGAACATTTTCTTATGCTGAAATGCCTCATGAATTTGCTTATATTGCAGGGGTCACTGGTACTCTAAAAACACTTGCTAAGCCAGAAAAAGATATCCTGGAAAACGTTTATGAGATCCACAAGAATACTTATATGCCATCAGTTTTTGGAAAAAGTAATCGTAATTATAATTCTAATAATGATGTAGAAGCGGTAAAGAAATCAGAATATTTTATGAGAATTCGTGGAGAAATAGATACGATGTGCAATGCTAAACGTGCCATTCTCATATTTTTCGAATCGGAAGAAAAATTAATGGCATTTTACAATTCTGAAGAATTATCATCTATAAAACTGAATGTACAAATTATTACTGAGAAAGTTTCGACCAAAGAGAGAGAGCTATGTATTAAGCGTGCCGCAACCGAAGGTCGAGTTTCACTATTGACTCGAACATTTGGACGAGGAACTGATTTCATATGTCAAAATCAGCAAGTGTTAGCTAATGGTGGAGTTCATGTACTTCAAACATTCTTTTCTGAAGAACTATCCGAAGAATATCAAATAATGGGAAGAGGAGCACGGCAAGGAGATCGTGGTTCATATAGGATGATTTTGTTAGATAGTGATTTAGAATGGGTACTTGGTGCTGATTGGGAGAAGAAAATTCCCGAAATAAATGGTTCTACTCTTTATGTTACTTTGGATAAAGCTCGTAATACACGTTATGAAAGTAGATGTGCTGGGAAAAAAGTTGGTATAGAACAATGCAAACGTGAGCATGAAGCTTCTAGACACTTTAAGAATGCATTGTCTGAAGGAGACATGAGTATCGTCAAAGACTTTTTGCTTCAGCAAAATCGAGGAGTAATCATAGATTCAGGAATTTCACGTACACTTCTACTTATGGATGCAACAGGCTCAATGTCAAATCTATTGTCTGCTGCCAAAGATACAGTTTGTACGATGTTTGAACGTGCTGCAGTAGTTTTAGCAGAAAAAGGACTGCGTAGCGATGCATTTCAAATGCAGTTTGCTGTTTATCGAAACTACAATTCTAACGATAATAAGATTTTGGAAGTTTCTCCTTGGGAAACAAAAGCAAGTAATTTACGGGCATTTATGAACAACATTGGTCCTGAAGGTGGGATGAGAGAGGAAGCAATTGAAATAGGATTCTGGCATGCAGTTAAAGAGAGTGAAGTACAAGACGGGATTTCTCAGGTTATTTTGATAGGAGATGCGCCACCGAATACTAAACAAAATGTAACTAGTAAGCGAACCAAATTAGGTGAAGCCTATTGGAAGCAGACTAGATTTGCTACATCAACATATTATGAAGATGAATTACAAAAGTTAAAAAAGAAGAATATCCCTGTCCGTGCATTTGTTCTTGCCGAAAACTCTCTCTCTCGAGTTCAAATCAATTTATTTTGGATAATATTCGAAGGT